AGCGACCGTTTACGTTTATTCCTTTATTTTTCCAATCTATATTTTTAAATATGGTTTCGAGAACTGCTATGAATAGTTTGGGTGACAGGGGGGGGGGAAGAAATAAAAAGATTCATTAATTATTTTTACCTTAGTGTCCCAAAAAGACGATGTTATTCGATATGGAAGAACTCTCTAAGTCATATATCAACATTATATCACTATATCATCCCCACTGAAGGTCCGAGACTCACTTTAGTTAGGTAATAAAGTTATACACATTAGAACATGATAGGAGTTGAACTTGCACGTATAGATTACTACTTTTTGCCCGCAACTCCGTGCGCGTAGACTTAAAAAAACAAAAGTGAGTAGCCTATGTGTTCTTCCAGACTATCCTCTACATTTATACTAAATTTCATCGAAATCCGGTGAGCAGTTTAGGCTACAAACTCTAACAAACATCCATCCATCCATCCATCCATCTAAACTTTTGCATTTATAATATTAGCAAGATGGTTCAGTTCCATGAAGCGGTTTCAACTGCGCCACCGTCGCTGTTGTTGAGCTTCCTTATTTTTTAAAAGAAAATCTGGCTCTCAAGAGGTTGATATTTTAGGAGGTGTCCATTCCATTGTTACCGATTGAACCGAAACATCATGACCTTTTTCAAGTGTGATTTGTCATTTATGTTTCCGCCAACCATTATAAGATAAATGTCAAGTGTCCTGTTTGTTATTTAGTTTTCGTAATTTTTTGAATTCGACCATCCAACCTTCGTACATTTTACAGTTATTTTTGGTTCCTTAACCTTGATAGAAACCATGCAGTAAACCGTTTGCCGCCACACGAACATTGAAAGTAGAATGAAATCTCTGGAGTTGTATTCACACATAAAAGTTTATAGTAAATTTTTAGCAGCATTGCTACTCGTAGACTTTGCTAATGATTATTACTTTACCTGCTAAAATCCAAAATGTAATGTTTTAAATATACGTATGTTAATATTAACCTCCGTAGAATCACCGCACCGGGTTTTCGTCATCCAAATAACTCTATCATCCGTCATCTCAGTCATCACTCCCTTCTTGATCATGTCACCTTTCATGCAATCCATCAGTCTCTTTCTAGGTCTACCTCTACCGGTATACCCTTCCAAACTCAAAAATAAAGTTCTCCTTGTACCTACATGTGAATGATACCTCATAACTTGCCCTTATGTTAATACTAGCTTTCGCCTGCGACTTTATCCGCGTGGAATTAAAAAAAAACAAAAGTGAGTACCCTATGTGTTCTTCCATACAATCCTCTACATCTATGCCAAATTTGATTGAGATCCGTTCAGCAGTTTAGGCTACAATCTCTAACAAACATCCATCCATCAATCTAAACTTTCGCATTTATAATATTAGTATGAATCTTCAACAAAGTCATAAAATAACTGGTTGACATATTATCCCACAAATCCGTCAATAACATCGATGGCAAAAATTCTTTAGTTTCTCCCATCATCATCAACATCTCGTTATCCTACTCCTGTAGGGTCGGCGCAAGTGGTTTTTGTCCTCCACATTACTCTATCATACGTCATTGCCGTCATTACTCCCTTTTTGATTATGTCACCTTTTACACAATCCATCCATCTCTATCTAGGTCTACCTCTACCGATGTACCCTTCCACACTCATAACTAACGTTCTCCTTGTAACATGCGATTCATCCCTCCTCATAACATGCCCATACCATGCTAAACTTTTAGTTAGTTACTCCATCTGGAACATAAATCATAAAAATAATAAAGGTATCAATATTTCTCAGTCAGAAGCTGTAAAGACGTTGCGCAATAAATTCTTATAGGTAGCGAGACAAAAGTGGCGCTGAAATCGTAAAGTTTTAATCTTAGCGATGGATTTCTTAGAGTCCATAAAACTCTAACTGCCAGTCACTATTGTATTGTATAATGAATACACAATTTAGCTAAGCCGGTTATATAAACTACTGTATTATCATTTTAATATTATAAATGCGAAAGTTTAGATTGTTGGATGAATGGATGTTTTCTAGAGTTTGTAGCCTAAACTGCTGAACGGATCTCGATGAAATTTGGCATATTTGATAGTCGGGAAGAACACATAGGCTGCTTGCTTTTGTTTTGTTTTTTTATTCCACGCGAACGGAGTCGAGAGCGAAAGCTAGTAACATAACAATCACCTGAGTAGTGGAGGTCACCCATTGGTCGAATTTCGACAATCGTTCATAATCAAGGAGGTTTTTATTATGTTTTCTATTTTTATATCACAAATAGGTTTACAATCTTATCACAATAGCTAGCAATTTTCACTTGTATCCATTCATGTATTTTTTTAAAGGCGTTAAAATATGCGCTAGTATTAACATAATGATAATTTGTAAAAATTACGATTTTTAAGGTATAAAATACCTTTTATTTCTAGTAAGAGATAGTCATAGTTTTATTTAACCTAACATGGATTTTAAAAGCTTTTGTACCTGTAGTAGTAGTAGTAGTAGTAGTAGGGGCTACGGTTTCCGCAACTCCACGACTAGCGCGTATTTTGCGTGAGAATAGGACATGGATAGCTCCAGCCTTTGTACCTGTAAAATGTGAAAATATAAGATTTAAAATGTTAAGAATAAAACTCTTACTTATTTCTAATTCGTCTCCCGAATGAAGTATGAAGGCGTGTCGAAAAGTATTCACTTTTCATAACTTCTTGAATAATCCTCGTTCATTAGACGCGAGTCTCGCAAAAAATTCGAGATGTAATAATCGCTTATTCCCTCTGGCAGTAATGTGCTGCATTATAGTGATGTCAGTTTAAAATACGAAGAGACGAGAAATCTTAATCACGATAGAATAATGTTTAAAGTTGACAATAAATGTTTACTATACATATTTTTGTAACAATATATCATATATTAATAGTATTACAAAATTGAAGAAAGATTTTATTATTTCTTTGCGATGTATAGGCTTTGAAGCTACTAACTTGATTTCTAAAATTCTTTTGTCATTATAAAGCTAAATTATCACCTGGTCCATAGGCTATATGCTACACCCAGAGACAGGGTAAGGAAATGGCAGAAAAGGCAAGAGACGCATTTTTACCATTAAGACGAATCTGGGACTTATCGCGAATTTAACATAAGAACAAGGCGTAGAAGCGACCTATTTATGATTTCCTAAATACATTTTGTAAGGGTGTTAGGAAAGCAAATTGAGGTCCGTAATATTTTTATCCTCTACTAACAAGCGCGGAAATATTTATCTTCACAATAATGTAAAAATCCTTACACATAATGTATTAACATTACTTTTTAGGAATACAAAAAAACTAGCAGCTAACTTATTGAAATTCGTTGCTCTCAGACAAATCGATTAATAAAAATGTGATAAAATCCTAACCTGCCATATTAACTTTAACTAAATATTTGACTTAGCTGAAGTAAACACATTCCAACTAACCCAAAAGTTTTATTGCAAACTTCTATTTGGAAATCTAGTAAAAAACAACAAAACAACGGTTAATAAAAAACATATATGTAATTAAAATTTCTTACACTTTTATAGGAGTACACTAAGTTCGTCTAGAAATGTTATTATTGATAAAAATCAGGATAGCAGCGAATACTTCAATATAAGAATCGTTATATATGTAAATAGTTTGAGGAAAATTCCAAGCGTCAATAAATTATTTATTTATCTTTCTTTTTCCAAAAGCCCATAATCTTCTTTTATCAAATCAGAGCCACGTTCAGCAATCATGATGGTAGGTCCGTTAGTATTACAACTTGTGATATTGGGCATTATACTGGCGTCGATAACACGCAGCCCTTTGACATGGTGCACTCGCAGACGACTGTCCACCACTGCTGAACTTGGATCAGGCCCCATCATACATGTACCCACCGGATGGTAAATTGTAGTCACAATTTCCGGAGCTATACATCTCCAGTATCCGTAACTATTTAATCTGTATTTGTTACATTTTGACCAATTATATCTGCCATGGAATGCATTCATACTTTTAAAGAAATCCGTTTCCGTAATATCAGCCAGCATAAGTATTCCCTCTACAACGGCTTTAACATCTCTTTCGTCATCTAAATAATTTGCATATATTAATGGATGATCAAATGGATTACTTGTATTTAAATGTATTTCCCCACGGGAATATGGATTTAGCAGGTTAAAATGAAAAACAACAGTATCATAGTGCGTTGCCAATTCACTGAAAGTTTGATTTATCGGTTCTTTATACATCGAAAAAAAGTTTTTGGCCTGGGGTGAATTCTTATGCCAAAAATCCAAATGTACTTCAAATTCTGGATGTGTAGCATTTCTATTTCTCGAATAAAATGCTAACAAATGAGGATAATTTGACTGTGCTAAGCCGCCAGTTCTATTATAAGAATAAAGAGCAACATTTAAATAGTTATTAATTTTATTTTGGGAGTATGACGTGGTACCAAATATTGGTACATTTATAGTCAGATGATCTTGTAAATTTTTACCTACTCCCGGTAAATCCACTTTACAAGTTATATTCTTAGATTCCAAATGTTTTTTTTCTCCGATTCCAGACAACATTAGCAATTGTGGAGAATTGATAGAGCCTCCACTAATAATAACTTCATTACTAGCAAATACTTTGATTTCTTTACCTTTGTATTTTACTACTACTCCGTATACTTTGTATTGACTATTTAGCAATATTTTTAAAACAAAAGCATTTTTTATTAACTTGAAATTTTCTCTGTGTTGGATTTGACTCAAATACGTAGTAGCCGTGCTAGCTCTTTTTCCATTGTAAGCAGTATCTCTAGATAGTCCTACACCTAGAAGATTACCCAAGTGCAGGTCTTCGTGTCTCTCTAAGCCTATCTGGCTATATGATTCCTTAAGATTTTCTATTAACTCTTCGTCTGTCTTATTAAATGTATTTATAACCTGTGGTCCATTTAATCCATAAAAATCTCGTATATAAGGATTTCGTAACAATTTCTGATCTTGTAGACTTTCCAATTTTTTATAATATTTAAAAACAATATCAGAGCACCATTGTTTATTACCCAGATCGGCCCATTTATTGAAATCAATAGCGATACCTCTAAAGTACACCATACCATTGATTGCACCAGATCCACCAAGCATTTTACCACGTGGCCAGTCTAGACTTCCTCCAACATTTGCGCCATTAATTCTTCCTGTTGGAACAGTCCTGTACTGCCAATCAGCTTCAGATTTTAGTAGCGATCGGTCATACGGTGGTACCTAAAAATACAAAACATTTGTTAAAATAAATTTTATTGAGGATATGTAATTGGCGACTACATTCTCCATTATGTGAATGAGACATAATTATCGTCTTCTTGGTCTTATTCTACTAACGTAGGCTTGGTATCAGATTTTTGATCTTCAAAACGATCTATTGTTATTAATTCCAGTCGTCTCCTATTTCTTAATCATGCCATTTTTACACTATCCATCGTTTTCTTACTAGGACATTGGTTGTGCTTCTGCACATTTATTAATGCTTCTCTAGTTATCGCATATATTATTATATTTCTTCCCGCCCCATAACATACTACTTTCAGACTTCCTCTAACATATTCCGTATCTTATTCAAATAGGTGGGAAAAATATGTGATACCAACGTAAGATTCTATGGGTGGATCACCACCTGCTTCTATCAATAAAACTTTCCACGGCTTTACTTCAGTCAGGCGATTAGCTACAACACAGCCAGCTGTTCCTGCACCGACCACTATGAAATTAAACATGTCACCATCTGAAATCGAATAACATAGTATAGTAACAAATTGGCCTTTAATAGTGCTTTCGGTGCCTGGATAGTAGATTTTGAATTTTTATTTACAACCATTTTTGTAACAGTCCTTTTGTTTTTTAAACAAAGTGCTTATTCCACCGACGTATAAAAATATTGCATAGAGGTTATTTACTATTGATTTTCTAATAAAATGTATTGTGTACCTTTGATGTCTGCACTCGGCTCCCACTTATCAGAAATTAGACAAATCGACGCCACCATAAAATTGAAACTCGAAAGGATGTCTTGAAATACATCACCGGTACTTGGCTTCAGACATGTATCCTTGAAGTAATGCGTACAATCGTTCTCTAGATGATTCCTGGAATGATAATTAACACTGAATTACCGAAGATCAAAATCAGTACAGGATCCTGAACTGAGATCAAACGTGTATGTAAGTTTTGTGATATGCCGTTAACGGTTACTACTGTCAATATCTTAGAAAAATATTAGTTAAAACAAAACTATATGATTAATAACGTTTATTTTAATTACCACATGCTCAAACAATTCCTAAAGAACAACTTAAAACGAATAAAATTTACCCAACACAGCCTTGCTTACTCTAGTTTAAAATTATATATGTATATGACTTGTTACAATTTTAATTAAAATGCACATTAAAAATACTTCGTTAACAGATAAGTACTAAAGTTAATTTGAATACATAATTATTTATATTCGTTATTCAGTTGTAAAACATGTTATTTTGGAGATAAGATTGAAATAATAATATCGAAGCTGTTCTCCATGATAATTAGGTCATATCAATACACTGCTTGATTGACGCCGTCCTCAATGCCTTCCATCAGAAGACGCATCATGATATGGTAGCATAGTGAGAAAAAATCGTTTGTTTTATGTATCTTTTTTGTAAAAAAAATTTGATAGTGAATAGACTAGCAAACACTCGAATAGGGAATCAAAAATGAATACAAAAAGTGATTAACCAACTTTAATAAATAGAATCCTCAGTCTGATTAAAATACCAAAATACTTCATAAATAAAAAGCAATATTTCCACTCCTAATTACCTCACCTAGTTCATATGTCTATTTCTATAGATATGCTAAGATAATGAATTGGAAAGTTTTGCTGTTAATTTGCACTTTTCTCTATAATACCGTAATCTTCTTTTATCAAATCAGAGCCACGTTCAGCAATCATGATGGTAGGTCCGTTAGTATTGCAACTTGTGATATTGGGCATTATACTGGCGTCGATAACTCGCAGCCCTTTGACATGGTGCACGCGCAGACGACTGTCCACCACTGCTGAACTTGGATCCGGCCCCATCGTACATGTACCCACCGGGTGGTAAATTGTCGCCACAATTTCTGGAGCTAAACATCTCCAGTAACCATAACTGTTTATTTTATATTTATTACATTTTCGCCAATTGTATCTTGCATGGAATGCATTAATACTTTTAAAGAAATCGGTTTCTGTAATATTAGTCAGCATAAGTATTCCCTCTACGACTGCTTTAATATCTCTTTCGTCATCTAAATAATTTGAATAAATCAATGGATGATCGTATGGATTGCTGGTATTTAAATATATATTTCCACGGGAATATGGATTTAACAGATTAAATTGAAAAACAATTGTGTCATATTTTTCAACTAATTGTACAAATTTTTGATAAATCGGTTTTTTAAACATCGAAAAAAAGTTTTTGGCTTCGGTTGAATTTTTATACCAATTAGCCAAATGGACTTCGAATTCAGGATTTGTAGCATTTTTATTTCTCGAATAAAATGCTAGTGTATGAGGAAAACCTGATTGTGCTAAAAGACCGGTACGATTATAAGAGTAAAGCGCAAACTTTAAATATTCATCAATTCGACTCTGAGAACGAGGTAAAGTACCAAAAATTGGTAAATTTATTGTAAGGTGATCTTGTAAATTTTTACCTACTCCTGGTAAATCTACTTTACAAGTTATGTTCTTAGATTCCAAATGTTTTTTCTCTCCGATTCCAGACAACATTAACAATTGTGGAGAATTGACAGATCCTGCACTAATAATAACTTCATTACTAGCAAATACTTTTATTTCTTTACCTTTGTATTTTACTACTACTCCGTAAACTTTGGATTGACTATCTAACATTATCTGTACAACAAAAGCATTTTTTAATATTTTAAAATTTTCCCTGTGTTGGATTTGACTCAAATACGTAGTAGCCGTACTGGCTCTTCTTCCATTATAAGCAGTATCTCTAGTGATTCCTGATCCTAGAAGATTAGCTAATTGCAGGTCTTCGCGTGTTTCTAAACCTATCTGATTGTATGACACTAGAATTTTTTTAACAAGTTCCTCATCAGTCCTATTAAAAGTGTTAATAACCTGAGGTCCTTTCAATCCATAAAAATCTCGTATAAAAGGATTTCGTAACAACTTTTGATCTTGAAGACTTTCCAATTTTTTATAATATTTAAAAACAATATCAGAACACCATTCTTTATTACCCAGATCGGCCCATTTATTGAAATCAATAGCGATACCTCTAAAGTACACCATACCATTGATTGCACCAGATCCACCGAGCATTTTACCACGAGGCCAGTCTAGCCTTCCTCCAACATTTGCGCTATTAGTTCTTCCTGTTGGAACAGTCTTGTACTGCCAATCGACTTCAGATTTTTGTAGTGATCGGTCATATGGAGGTATCTAAAAATACAACATTGGTTAAATTTATTTTTATATTCTTAATGGTGTTAAAAGGTACATAATACTAACGTAAGATTCTATGGGAGGATCGCCGCCAGCTTCTATCAATAAAACTTTCCATGATTTAACTTCACTCAAACGATTAGCTACAACACAACCGGCAGTTCCTGCACCGACCACTACGAAATTAAACACGTCCCCATCTGGAAAGTATTACGTGAAATAGTCAGAAACGTAGGCATTTTGTCAGATATTTTTTTCTAAAATACTTTATAGTAGTTAATCGTCATATTTATTTTGTCCTCATTGCGGAAATCTATACTAATATACTAAAGTGTAAACACACACTACTTCGTGGCGAAGAATGCCAGCAATCACAGCATATTTTTGAATAATTCCTTCTTTAATAAAAAAAAACCTACATTTACGACACGCTTTAGGCTATATATTTAGACACTATAAAGCTTAGGGGGTAAAAAAAAAATTGGAAAATACATTCATGTGAGAAAGTGACCTGTGAGTGATAAACTACAAGCTGCCAACTTTAAGAAAACAAGGTTATCATGGTAATTTTGACATTTGCAATTGAGAATTTGACAAATGTAATTTTTTTTATAATTTCATGCGTATGGAGCCGCACGGGTACAGCTAGTCTCAGCATAACGCGTGACCTGACAAATCTAAAAGTCCACAATTTAATAAAGAAATTGTTAAAAGTGTTGTAAATGATGTGGACACCTTCAAGAGTAAGGTGCCGATTTTACTAACCATGCAAGTACTACGATTCTAAAAAATCTACTTACCTTTGATGTCTGCGCTTGGCTCCCACTTGTCAGTAATAAGACACGTCGACGTAACTATCAAATGGAAAGTCGAAAGGATGTCTTGAAAGACATCCCCGGTATTTGGCTTGGGGCAGCTGTCCTTCAGATAATTCGGAAGACAACTATTTTCTAGATAATTCCTATAAGAAATATCTAATTCTGTATATGAACTTACCAACCTTAGAGTTTTAGGATTAGAAGAGCATTTAAACACTGTGCAATACCCAATATTCGAAGTAACTACAACAGAATAAAATCCATTTTACCAAATGCCATATTTCAAAATCGAAAGTTAAACAACATTTTTTTATGTATCCGATATGTTCAATCAATTGAGTTTCATAGAAGGGCAGCAATTATTTTGACCCATTTGGTTCGAAAATGTATTTTACATTCAAATATTGTTACACGTTGGCAAATCCTTAAAATATAAAAAATTGGGAGATTGAAAATTTAAAACTCTTAAATACCTTAACATTTCTAAAATAATTGTGAATAATAGTTATAATTATAATAATAAACAGTTATTGACACACTATAACAATTGTTAACTTTCAAACGTGCATTTATATGCACATATTATAAACGTTTTTTTAAATTAATACAGATAAGAAATATAAAAACTTTATTGTTCGATAAATGCGTATTTTTTCAGCCGTCTATGTTTTTTGCCATAGTTGTCTTATCGAAGTCATTCACCTAGTTGCCTCAGCCAGTATCGCTATTTTCAAAGCTGACACAACAATAACAAGTAACGATCAATTTCGCAGTCACTTGGACAGATAAGACCAAGTTGGCCTCTATAAACCTTTGCTGGTATGTCTCAACAGCGCGATTTTCGCGAAATGTCTCGTCACGCATAGCAGAATTATGGAACGATGATTTGGCGGTACATCCAAATCAGTAAGATGTAGGATACATCGGATGCTAGCTAAAAGGCGGACAACCCAACTGCAATTCCACTGGTGTTCCATGGACGTCGATATCTACCTAGGTTTTAGACTGACGTGTCGAATTAAAACATATTACTATCTCTTTCATACTCTTCAACGTAACAAAGACTAGTCCTACGATGTCTATATCTGTCCACAATCAATAATAGCGAACTGTAACTTAATGTCTTTTTTTAATTCAAGTCTTTTATACCATAATCTTCTTTTATCAAATCAGAGCCACGTTCAGCAATCATGATGGTAGGTCCGTTAGTATTGCAACTTGTGATATTGGGCATTGTACTGGCGTCGATAACACGCAGCCCTTTGACATGGTGCACGCGTAGGCGACTGTCCACCACTGCTGAACTTGGATCCGGCCCCATCATACATGTACCCACTGGATGGTAAACTGTTATCACAATTTGCGGAGCTATACATCTCCAGTATGCATCACTGTTTGTTTCATGTGCATTACATTCAGGCCAATTGTATCTACCAATAAATCCATTTATGTCTATAAAGAAATCAGTATCAACTATTCGTGATAAAATTTGTACACCTTTTATTGAAGCATCAAGATCTCTTGCATCGTCAAAATAATTTGGATATATTAAGGGATAATCGAAAGGATTATTTGTATTTAAAGAAATATTTCCACGGGAATAAGGATGTAATAAATTGAATTGAAAAACGTAGACGCTGTGGTCCTCGATTAATTTTGCGAAAGTTTTTGCGATCGGTTCTTTATAGATTGCGAAGTAATTTTTAGCAGCAGTTGAATTTTTCGAAAATATCACCATATGACTTTGAAAGTCTGGTATTGAAGCATTTTCAGCTTTAGAAAAAAATGCAAGTATATCTGCAATACTAATTTGAGCCCAAGAACCAGTACGATTGTAAGAATACAGTGCAACGTCTAAATATTTTAGTTCCATATTTTCATAGCCAGGTTTATTACCAAAACAGGTATATTTAGTATTATGTGATCTTGTAAATTTTTACCCACTCCGGGTAAGTCTACTTTACACGGTATTCTTTTAGCTTCCAAATGTTTCTTCTCTCCTATGCCAGACAACATTAAAAGTTGAGGTGAATTAATAGTCCCAGCGCTCAAAATTACTTCAAGCCTCGCAAATATTTTCATAGTTTTACCTTTGTGTTTTACTAAAACTCCATATGCCCTGAAATTGTTATCAACTAGGACTTTTAAAACTAGAGCATTTTTAATTAACTTGAAATTCTTTCTAATTTGTATGGAACTTAGATATGTGGAGGCTGTACTAGCCCTTCTTCCATTACTTGCAGTGGCTCTAAATATTCCTGAGCCTAGAAGATTAGCTGTTTGTAAATCTTCTCGTATTTTAAAGCCCATTTGGTTATAAGAACTAAGAACTTTTAGAGTTAGATTTCTATAGGTGTTATTAAAAGTATTGATAACTTGTGGTCCATCAAGACCGTATGTATTTCTTACATAAGGATTTTTTAACAACTTCTCATCTTGAAGACTTTGGGACTTTTTGAAAAACTTATGAAGAATATCTGGATGCCACTCGGGATTACCAAGTTTATACCACTTTTCGTAATCATAAGATAAACCTTCAAAGTATATCATGCCATTAATACCGCTGCTCCCGCCTAGCATTTTTCCCCTGGGCCAAGTCACCGTTTCCCCGACGTTTGCTTGGTTAGTTCGTCCATTTGGCACGGTCTTGTAGTTCCAGTCGTACGGAGAATTTCTTAAACTTTTATCGAGTTGTGGTATCTAGAGGCAGAAGTGCATTGAATTAATTTTCTCATATACTAGTCAAAAATAAAACCGATGTTTATATTGAAAAAAACGATTGCAGCATTATTCGTATTTTTATGAGTTATTTCAAGTCATGAATGATAGGGGACATAATGAAGTATGTTTTATGCATACTGTTACCTAATACAACAAAATAACGTTATTCAAATGTTATTCGTATGTTATTCGTTTAAAAAGAAATGCTTTTCCAGATTATGCGTAACACTAAACACGATGGTAATAAAAATCACGTTTTTAAACAATGTAAACGACTGCTATAAAAGGAAATAACTTTAAATTAGAAGTGATCAAGGAAACTATTAATTCATCAACAAAGCCGAATATTAATATTGAAACTCACATAAGATTCTATAGGCGGATCACCGCCTGCTTCAATAAGTAATACTCTCCATTGTGTCACTTCCGTTAATCTATTGACCACTACGCAGCCTGCCGACCCTGCTCCAACCACTATGAAATCGAATGTATCAAAACCTAAAACAATAAATATATCATCTTATCTATATACATATAATGAAATTGAATTGTCAGTTTGTAACGTCAAAAGGAAATTCCAGATTTCGGGAACATGATGTATTTTCGTTGCTGATAAGAAAAATCGCATTTAAAAAAATTTTGTCTGTCTGTCTGTCCACAAGCCGCGTTTGTTCCGGGTAACCTCCGAAACAGCTGGGCCGATATCGACCGGACTTTCACTGAAAGGTAGGGCATAGACGGGCATATTATAGGCTACTTTTTAATCCTTATATTCCATGGACGAGGTTGCGGGCAACAGCTAGTAAAAAATGTAAAATGTGAAAAATTGACAAATCTCGCCCCGTACATAAATGTTTTAGATTTCATGTAAAACCTAGTCATTTTAGTTAATGTCTATTATGAAGCCTTGGCATACGACGCCCCTATTTTGATGGCATGCCACTTGCTTATAATACCAGCTCTATCTAAATCTAAGCAAAGCAAGAACGGAGTGTCTATGAAAATATTACTCTCCTAATAGTTAGGGATACAACACTAGTGATGACCTTCCTTCATCAGTTTTCCTGATAAAGCCATTACATGAGATAACAAGATCAAATATTTTTCAACAGTATACCAATATCAATATGCCCGTTAAATACAACATTCGTAGTTAAAATATTTTCATTACAATTACGAGTATAACCTGCGTTTATCGCAATGGGAAATTTCAGTATTATCATTTGTTAATGGTAACCTCAAATTTATTCGTGTTACAGACTGATTAGAATGCGAAATAAAAAACTATGTTATAGAAACTTAGTTTTTTTTTTCTGAAAATTTATGTTTTTACGGTTAAGACCTACATACATGAATTTCCAATTATAATTCAAATTGTATTACATTTTGATAACCAAAATAAACATATATAATTTATTTACATATGTATAAAGGAATGTAACATTATAAATAGAATTCGTTCACCTTTGATGTCTACACTCGGCTCCCACTGATCAGTAATGAGACAAGTCGACGCTACCATGAAATGATAAGTGGAAAGAATATCTTGAAACGCAGCTCCAGTATTTGGTTTCAAGCAGCTGCCCTTGAGATGACAACTAAAATATAATCAAACATATAAAACCTTTTTTTACCTCTAAAAAAAGAAAAAAATAATTTAACCGTACTGGCCACTTTGACTGAACATGGCAGCGAATAAATGCAGTTTAAAAGACCACCATCATAGAAAAACACTTTACTGGTACTGTCATTGTTTTGTTAGTTAAATAGGCAAAGTACTTGACGTTAAAAATTAACTCAGATAACGGAAGAGGTAATGAGACACATACATTTAGTTAACAGATAAGTAAATACCCCGAGATGCTTAACATTCCTACTTGTACTATATCAAGGTTTGTAATTCATAAAATGTCATTACTTCACTTCCAAAATAACCTTAACTTTTGATAAAAAAAATCATGAAATTTAAATTAAAATAATAAACACATCATTTTTTCTCTATCCGTGATACATAAATAGGTAGTCGATTTTATTTTTAATTCTTTACGAAGCATGGCCATTGAAAAGCTGAATAAGTTTCATTCATACACGTTCGATAGAAAATCACACAATAGCTTTACAAAATGAAATAACCTAATCGTGTCTTCATACTATACCTGAGCGAGTAACTTTTTCTTTTGTTAAAAGTGGATTTTACCGGAAAAAGAAATTTATAGCGAAAATATACTAGGTGGTCTCTAATAAAGATAAATACGCCGATAATGATCCAAAACGTTTGAAAATCTTAATAAGGTTATATTGTTTGGCGGGAAAGTTGATTGTTACCTTACTGTAAATTATTTACATAAAAAGTATATTTATTGGTTAATATTAATAGCTTTAGACCGCAAGTATGTCCACGTATAATTTAAAAAAAGTAATTAGCCTTTGTGTTCTTCCATCCTATTCCTACATCTATGCTTTTATTTCGGTCAGCAGTTTATCCATCCATCTAAACATTCGCATTTATATTAGGGAGATGTAGGAAGTGTAAGCTATGTTGATTTTTTTTTTAAATCTCTTAGATATTCTGAAAAAATATCTGCTAATACAAAATCATGCCATAAACTGAGTCTTAAACAAGGTAAGCCTCATTTATCCCATCTTTATAGTACTAAAGTGAAAAAGATATTCACAACGGTTTTAAAAGAACATTTACATTTTAGAGGCGTGAATTTAAACCGCTATGAATGGAAGAATATTTAAATTTAGTCGATTGATCACACAAATGTGTTTTAAGAACATTTTACATTACTCATGGCATAGAGTTTTTAGAGAGATATTAAAAGAATCTCAAATGTTTTTATTCATTTATTATTGAAGTATACTTGTGGAATTTATAAAAGAGATATTTTGCTTTTGTGGTAATTAAAATTAACCTAAATTTATTAAATCACTACATAGGAAATTTTCTATCCGAGGGACTCGCTATTTACGTCGAGAAATCTGTTGTTGTCATTGACATTGTTGATATTTGTAAGTAAAATAAATTATGTTTTTCGCATTGTGAGACATTAATTACAATATCGAAGAGTCCTCATAAGTATGATAATGTTTCAATTTTCAAATCATACGATACGGTAAAAGTTTTATAAATATTGGTTCATTTATTTTTCTTATTTTCAAAATGATGTTATAAATATTACAACGTTTTAAAATACTTAGTAGTCAAGGAACCTTAGGACTTAAAGTAATATTATATTCCGGTTGAATTTACTTTAACGTGTATTTTAAGCAATTTACATATATATCGAAACACAATCTTAATTACTAAATAAAACACTTAAAAAATATTATTTCCAACAAAAAACCGTTCAAACCAAGTCATGTCTTTATAATTTTTTCACGACATTTTCGTAGAACTATGCTAAATGTTAAGATAACTTTCTTCTGCCTTGTCCCACGAACGGTGTACCATAGGACTCGAAGTACCGTCGCACTCTGCGGTCTCCGTGGGCGTGGGACCACACCGCCGCATGGAGTTGCTCAATTAGTTCGAGAGTCGTCACGCTGATAGGCACCTCGTGTGTCAGTCCGAAGAAATTGCCGCGTTCTTCGTCAAGAAAGTCACTCACCTATGAATTGATTTTATAATACTACTAGTTTTCAATTAGAATTAAAAAAAAACAACTGCAAATAGCCTGTGTTCTTCAAGACTATCCTCTACATCCATGCCAAATTTCATTGAGATCCCTTCAGCCGTTTAGGCTATAAACTCTAACAAACACCCATCTATCTAAACTTTCACATTTATTATTATTATCTATTTCATACTAATATTATAAAGAGAAAATATTTGTATAATATTTTTGTATGTATGAAATAACTCAAAAACTACTGGGCCGATTTTAAAAATTCTTTCACCGTTAGAAAGGTAATTTATCTGTGAATAACATAGGCTATATATTTTAATTTTACGTGGGCGAAGTCGCGAGCAACAGCTAGTTATTAGTAAGATGACAATTCGGTAATTTTAAAATTAGCAGTGGATTTATTTGACTATTATTATAATAGTATTTCATTAATGAAACACATATTGGTTAATAATTAAATCATCATCTCAATCAGACTGATAATAATGATAAGATATAATTTAGTCTGCAGTGAAAACCTACACATTATTATAGGACATAATACGGAACGTATTTAATAGAAAATTCTACAATCATTTATGTATTATTATATTTAAATAATACTCACACCTCTATTAATTATAATACTGAAAACGAAAATAACAATTTTATTCCAAAACATTTTAACAAATTCCCGAGTATTAAACTAAACACATTGTTTAGAATTTGCCTACATTTTGTTTGGAAATTGGAATACGATATAAATAAAATGGTACAAATTTTTATCGCTTCTTCATTATATTCCATTGTAATAAAATATTACGAGTACTTGTTCAACGTTTACTATCCAACAATATATAGTTTTAAATTACAAAGTCTTGTTTTTTGTTTATACATTTGGATTTATATTCAAGTAACTGGCTGTACCTGTGCAGCTTCATCCGCATGAAATTATGAAAATTTTATTTTATTGTTTACATTTGTCAAATTATCAATAGCAAATGTCAAAATGACATGACATAACAAACCTTAGCGATCTGTCTTTCTTGATGTTGGCAGCAACTTATGGTCTATTTCCCGCATTAGGGTTTTTATCCAAATATTTACCCCGTAAGTTATTAAACTTAAGTAAACGTGAGTTATTAAGCCATTAGGCGTGAAAATATACAGCCTGAAGCATGACGTGTGTAGGGCTTTATATTAAAAAAAAGGATTATTCAAACATATGTTGTAATTGCTGACATTTTACGCCACAGAGTATTGTGTTTACACTTTATTATATTAGTATAGAGTATAGATAGTACAGATAGACATATACTCTACAAACATTTCATCATTTCGCTTCTAATCAATATCTACAGTTTAATAGTAATGTATATTAATAATGTTCATAGCAATAAAACAATAAGTAGTTTTTGCATTATTTATTTAAAATACTGTAATAATTTTACTAAATAATAAAATTACTCTTCTTCAATAATTTATAAGTGAAAGTAAACATACTGTAAAAGTTGTGTAAAGTCACAACAGTTTACTTTATTTTTTTCTTTATAGTAGCTGTCAAACATTGTTACTGTATGATGGAAATGCTTTTAAAATACCCAACTGGCAACATTTACCAAATATACATTTTTATTAAAATATTTTAGCATTAAATGTTCTTTTTGTAATACAAAAATAATATGTTAAGCATTGACAGTAAGCAGAGTATTGGCATACTGGAACTCCGGACTGTTCTCATATTCTGACATATCCAGAGCCACTTCACAACTCTCTCTTACAACACGACGTGGATCATTCAAATACCTGAAAAAAAATCACATTTAACTACAACTTGCTGTTTTTTGCGACTTTCTCCGTGTGAAATTAAAAAATATAGCAAAATTACTCACTGATAACTTTTTAATGGTGAACTAATTTTTTGAAATTGGTAAAGTAGTTTTTGAGTTATTTCAATACATATAAATCTTTCCTCTTTAAACATTAGTATAGATTTTTTTTTTAAATTGCAAAACCAGCGCTTGACCACTATCCCACCTAGACCAAGGTGAAGATGTGGTCAAGTATGTTTGATTAATATTAGTGTGATTATATTTGAAGATGTAATAAATCACACTAATTTAAATATCATAGTATGTAAACTGTTCAACAAATATTAATAAAATTTGTCACAAATTTAAAAAATTGTCCGGTAGAATAGACTTCTAATAGCAGGTGCACATCTTTGACAAACAATCGCACGACAGTTGTGCGATTGTCAATTGTCTCGCAGCCAATTCAACTGTCTCGTAGCAAAACTATAATTCGAGAAGTATACGCGTGTTCCATATAAGCAGGAATCAAAGCCAGATTAAACAGTTGTGTAAAGGTGTGCACACATTCTTACTAAGGTCTGTTCTTTGAGGAAGGTGTACAAAAGCTAATTTTATTTTATCTAATAAACAATAAGTTTAAAATTCTGACCGTTTTAGCACCTCAGTGCATTCATCGGTGGCTATAGAGCCAAGTGCTTCAGCGGCTTCATGTCTCACCATCTCATGTTCATTGATATCTTCCAATGTCTGCTTCAAGTATGGCACACTGCGCTCATCTTGCATCTGACCAAACACAAATGCCACTTCATGACGGAATAATGCACTGCTGCCTTTGAGGCCTGAAACACACGTAAAATTTTATGATTAAAACAGTAAGAACATAACCAAAAACACACAAGTAATGTCTGAAATATAAGGTTTTTATCAAGTATTCTTATATAAATCAAACATTAAAATTGAACAAATGCCCTCAACCTTATGCAGGTTTGGTACAGTATGTCCTGGTCTTCCATACATTTCTATCAGCTGTTATATCTGCACTACCTTGTTTAGCATATCCTCTTTCACAATCCATACATACTTTCTCAGTCTTCCTCTACCCTTATAACCTTCCACATGAGGCATCCATTAAAATGTATGACATAAATTTAATGCATTAACAAATCAATTCAATTCAAGAGGAAGACCGTAGAAAGTATGAATGGATTGTGTGAAAGAGGATATGCTTAAGAAAGGAGTGGATTCAGATATGGCTGATAGAGATGTATGGAAGAGCAGCACATACTGTGCCGACCCTCTGTAAGGGATAAGGGAAAGTGGATGATGAACAAATCAATTCAATTACCTTCACCCAATGCATTGATGCTCTCTGTTGTACTCAAATTTCGCAAACTGAACATAGCTCTATATCTTTCAAATAATGATTTTGTTTCATCCATTAAAGTTTTCTTTAAGCTTTCAACATTTAATTCTGCACTTGGTGGAGCCGGGTCCACTGAGCTGTACGGACTCTTCGATAAATTGTCATCTTTAGTACTTTCATTTGCAATCCAATTTAACCTTTGCAAAGCAATTTGACAAGTCTCGGCAACTTCAATAGCTTGATCATGTTGATATTTTTCTAGAATCTCTCGGAGATTTGGGTCTCCTATAGCCCCAAGCGCCTCTCCTGAAATTAGAATATTTTTGTCTAATTAAAAAAATCGCAACAAATTAGGTACATCAAATTAAATAAATTATGTACTTAGACAAAAGTGAACTAATGATACAACATTTATAAATGGGCTTGGCTTCTAAGGGACTACAATTATATACGTTCTTATCATTGTTATCGTGTACGTGAGGATTTAAAATTGATAAAGTTACATACCAGCTTCATGGCGTACTATGGGGTCTTGTTCTATATCTTCTAATACTTTTCTTAACACTGGAATGGCTCTTTTATCTTGCATTTGGCCTAAACAATACGCTAACTCGTGTTTTAACAAAACTGACTCATCTTTGAAACAGTCGCTGATACATTCTATCGAAGTTTCGCCGCCTAAGTTTCGCAAACTGAAGAGTGCTCTAAACCGCTCCTTCATCGGTCTTGACGGGTCGTTTAATACTTTTCCAATATTTTTGATAGCAGATTCACCAACGTTTACCATTTTTGTATTTTGTAAAATAACTTAAAAGCGTAATAAACGTGTTCCAAGTTTAATCAAATTCAAAATATGTTTTCCGTATTGACAGCTGACAGCTAATTATTATGTGTCACTTTGACAGATTTGGAGCGTTTTGAAATTTGAAAGAAAGTGTTATCCCAATGTAAAACGTAATTTCGATTGTTTTCTTAATTTGAAAAAAAACTTTCATTTCATGACGTGTTTATAGGCGCAGTCGTGTAGTTAATAACGAACTGCCATTAAATATTATAAATTCGCTCCACTGACCACAAACCGAGAACCCGCGTCTAAAACAGGTGTCTAGAATGAATACTATATTAAAAAAACCAATCAACTCAATAATTCAAATTGTGTCATTTGTTTTTAATCTAAACATGTATTAAATACATCCTTTGATGCATTGTTTGCTTAGATCTTTAAATAATTGATGTAATTTTTAGTCGAAATTCTTTTCACGCTGTGTGCACAAAAACAAAACAGTTTCTGCTTATTGTACCATATTCAATTTTTTTATTGTTAATTCCCTCCGTGTTCATATGTGACAGGAAATTAATTCTGATAAACAGTTCAACCCAATTGTTGTTAAAACATTTTTTTTTTCAAAATAATTGGGGGATATCAAGAAGCTTATTAGGAAAGATTTTCTCAATAACAGCTCTACCGAAAAAGTATTCCGACCTTATAGATTTCAAGTTAAAGAACGTTCATAATTCTTAAATCAAATGTATTGTTGTTTTTTTTTTTCATTTTGTATATTCCAAATCATATAATTGAAAGATGAATTTAAACAAAAAGATGAAAACATTAAAATCGGAACCAGAATAGATTGTTTCAATCTGTTTGTGTCGTATTGTATTTATATAAGAAAAAGTGTTCCACGAATTCAACATGTTGTTTCTAGTAATGCGATTGTTGTAACCTAACACCGTTTCCCGTCTGTTGCTATTTTAGAATTCTCAAATGGATTTTAACAAAGCTGTACAGTAGTTGCGTCAATTTTGTTGCTAAACATTTAAAATACAAAACAAATTATGAATTTGTTGTATTAAAAATAACAACATTATGAATTGTTGAATAATATTAATAATTATAACAAACACTTGATTCTTTAACGCAACCTTTAAAATTTATATTCATTAATTAGTAATTTAGGGCAACCTTTAGGTTAGATCAGAAAAACGTTTCTGGGTGCGGCAAGTTTTCAAGAAGAAAAAGGGTTCTGTAAAGGTACATCATCAACAGGATGTGAGAGTGGTCATAAACATAGACTTTTAATAATCTTAGACCCGATGTCTGGTGTCAGGAATGCAGAGTTTATATGCCGACACTCCATTTTGACCCGAAAAAATCGATGTTAAACCCGTCATGGAAACCCGAAGCCTTGGTAGTCTTATGCGGTAGCAACATCAGACTAATGGTTTTTTATCAATAATTGTAGAATATTTTCATGGGATTTGCTTCTTTTATTAGCTTGATAATTGAAACAGCCGTCTTGTATAATACCAAGGAATGTCAATTGGTACCGCATTATGTTCTACTTAAAATTAAAAGAGGTTGAAAAGAAGACTACTGAATCGGCTTCGTCCGGTTATCGACTACATTTTTTTAATAATCGGTATTTTTATGTACATTTTGACATATCTGTTATTGTCCCTTAAAAAACAGATACAACTATGTTTTTGTATTTCGACAGTGTATACTAACGGTTATTAACTTTTTTTTGAGTCAGTTTAACAAGTTGTCCAGGTGTCATCCCATCAACGACGTGTTTGTTCACAAAGAAATTAATTAATGCCTTCTTTTGTTTTTTGTATACCTTATAAATAATATGCAATGTCACTGTTATTATAGAGGGAAACTTACTCGACGAAAACGGACTGGAAGTTAACATTCTCACATCTCAGTACGACACTTCTATCGAATCGTATCGCGCGTGCTTTACAGATTTTTTAAATTTACCAGACAGTATTTTTTTTTTTTTCTAATGTGATTTAAAATATCGATTCCCATTTATTTTTTAAATTCAGAACAATTTTTTTTAATTCAATAACTTCAAAGGAGCGTCCAATTCTTCATATTTGCTTTTTTAGGTTGGTATTTTATTTTCTAAATTTTAATTAAGTCTTATTAAATTATTTTTATTCCTTTCCGTAAATAATCTTTTATTTTTTATTATTATTTTGTTCGGTAAATTCATTTTTAATTCATAAATGCATTTTTTTGTCCCATTATTTAAAACACATTCAAAACCAGTTTGCTATTTATTAAAACATAAACCGTAAATGCGAAGGTCGATATATCATAAATAAGACGTATCCAATGTTTATATTTTTTTCTCCCATTACCTTTATAACTGCTTAGTAATCGTCAAATTGGCACAAAACCAGCGGACTTTTATACGTAGTTATTTTTTGTTAATAGTCATTCAAATAAATCAATTACCTTTGATATAAATTCGTTAGTGCGAAACTAATTTATTTATATCTTGGCTTGACCTCTACATTTCTCGTTTTTGTTAAAAAAACACGTTTTAGTCTAAAGTATTCAATACAAAGCTGATCGTAATTAATTTGTTTTAAAAAACGCCAAAATTTTATAAGTCAGAATCGTAAATATACAAGTGGTCACCTTAAGGAATTAAATTTGTTATCAATAGTACCCCAGGAACGGCTTTCGTTAGACCATTTTGTGGCAACAAAGTTGAAAATAAAAACGGCAGCTACTAGATATAAGTCATTTAGGAAAAATGACAAAAAATCTGCAAATTTTCTGATGTTTGGGATACTTTCCGCGAGATAATTTAAGTACCCCGCTGTTAGACTCCTTTTCGAAACGTGAAAATGTTTCGAAAAATAATTAATTGCCACTACTATAATTAAAAGTAAAATAAAGTAGTTTACACTTTCAATTATCTAACTAATATTATAAATGCGAAAGTTTAGATGGATGGATGTTTGTTAGAGTTTGTAGCCTAAACGGCTGAACGGATCTCAATGAAATTTGTCATAGACGTAGAGAGTCTGGAAGAACACATGCTCACTTTTGTTTTTTTTTAATTTCACGCGGACGGAGTCGCGGGCGAAAGCTAGTATTCTATAAATAGCTAAGGAACATAGTAAATAATTGAGGAATCTTCGACATCACATGTAAATGAGAAAGACAAATATAAAACTGCTTTTCATCGCGGTAAATATTATTTGATCTAATTGACATCCGGTTCATTAATAAATGTATGTGTGCGAGTATATTGTTTGTTTGTAAAGTTTTTTTAGAAAAGATATATAAATCTGTACTATTATAATAAAGCGTAAACACACACTTCTTTGTTGTCTAAGATGTCTGTAAATACAGCATATTTTTGAATAGTCCTTTTTTTAATAAAAATCCCTCGCACACGCCACGCTTTAGGCTATATATTTTTGCGCCATTAAGTTCAGGGGGTAAATATTTTGGATAAAAACCCTAATGTGGGAAAAAGACCATAAGTTGATGCCAACATCAAGGAAGCAAGGTTGCCATGATTTGTCATCATGTCATGTTATTTTGATATTTTCAATTGATAATTTGACAAATGTAAACAATAAAATAAAGCCGCATGGGAACAGCTATAGAATAAACTTTGTCAGATCTCATATTGAACGTAATGACTAGATAAACATAAAAATTAATTTCTTACTTCTATCTTATCAGAAAGAAGCGTCTTATACAATTTAATGCAATATAACCGTATTATTTACACTTACACTTAATTACGTTTCTTTTAATAATGAATGAAACTTTGTCTCACGAATATATTTGATTGTAAATCAATTTTACACCCATTTTTAAACTCGAGAGTTTTCAAGCAGCCGCGCAAAATAACGAACACTGTCAAAATCGAGAAGTAATTGACGTGTGTGACGAATATTTCGCCGGATAACCAACGTTTTTAAATTCCATGTAATCTATACTAATATTATAGAAGAAAGATTTGTATTTTTGTATGTATTCGATTCACGTAAAAACTATTGGGCCGTTATCAAAAATGTTTTTACAATTAAAAAGCTACGTTATCAGTTACATAGGCTATATTTCTCATTGTTTTTTCACGCGGGCGAAGTCGTGCGAAACAGAAATGAGAAATATAGAAATATAGCGGACATTAAATGAATAAAATTTCCGCCATTTTGACATATTTGTCTCTGTTATTTCTTAAGAATAAAGTTCTATAATATAATATAATTCTATTATAGAAATATTAAACGAAATATCTATTCTATAATATCTTAGTTACTTTAAATCTAATCACACATGAAGATGACAATATTCTTTGCACTCAGTAATTGAACTCTTGCTCAGTAGGTTATCGTCGTAAAAACATGCCGATTAAACCTAACATAACGGTGGTAATAAAACTATCGTTATTTGCCGCACACTGAGAATTCAAGATAAGGAAGTATAATATAAACAAACATAGTATATGCAGTATGTCGTTTATATACCTTGATTATGTTACATTCTTCGTTTTATTTCTACGAACTAACTATTGGTCGTGAAATTAAAAATGAAATAAAAAATATAGCCTATGTACTCACAGATACTCACCTTTCGAATGGAGAAAGATTTTTTAAAATCGGCCCAGTATTTTTTATCTGTATCAAATACATACAAATATACAAATCTTTCCTCTTTATAATATTAGTATAGATAACAGCTAGTCTTATAAAGACTATTTCAGTAAAAAAAATTTTTTTGCTTGATTCGGTTTAAATTACTTTAATCTGGCTCTACTTACTGATTACTGAATTAGTAGAGAAAGCGAGAGGTCTGTCAGGACTGCAGCAATAGGAGGTCCGTGGTCTCTGGTCCTCTGAGTTAAGGGCGTGATTTATGGTGTTGTGGTTTACTTGAAAAAAACTGTTTGTATCACACTCAGAAAGAATGCGAATCAAAACGACTCTTAACTCTTCAAAATCAGTTGTTTAAGCTAAACCTAATGTAAACCCTCATATATCAAATCATAATGAACTAACACGATCGAAGAATTTTATAACACTCTGTAAAATAGCAAATATTTCTAATAATTTGTTTAACTCTTGAGACTTTATTATAACTAATTAAACGTCGCCACCGTTAAAATAGACGTGAGTGCTAGCTGTTTAATAATTCCCTTGCCTTAATTTAAGTCTCTTTCCTTTCTCTTTTCTTAAGAGGTTCGGAAAATTGGATTTTACAGTGGAGGAGACGCGTAGGAAAGGAAAATGTTATTTATTATGTGCGTCTCCTCCCCCGGTAATTAAGGTATGGAACGCATCTGCAATTGCGGATGTTTATAGACAGCGGTCGGTTTCCATTTCGGTGGATTTAGGTGGCCGTTTGCTCGTTTGCATCTCCATAATATAAAAAATCATTTTAATATTTTCTAATATTGCATATTTTATTTACAGACACTATGGGGGGTTGGTTGAGTCAATTATGGTGGGGAGGTGACCCGGACAAAGTTAACCCAATCTCCGGTCTAACGAGAAGAGAGGTACATGCCGTGCAGATGTCCTGGGCTCCCGTTAATAAGAACTCCGTGGCCACCGGCACTGAGCTACTCAAAAGGTTGTTTTAATATTTTATCTCAATAACAAAGGTCTCTGATAACACTGTAAAAGTCAAATATTTAATAACTTTATCTGTAAAAATAAGAGATGTTTACACTAGCTGTAATACATAATTTGCACGCGACTTCGTTTCCGCGGATTTAAAATTTAGCTTAGTGATAATGTTGCTGTTTTAAATCGGCCCAATAATTTATACGTTTATCCGATTCATACAAAAGTACAAATCTTTTCTCTTTATATTAGTATGATAGTTTTCTTCCGGGCCGTCGTCCGCGTGAAAAACAAAAGTAAGTAGCCTATGTGTTCTTCAAGACTATGTCTACATCTTTGCCAAATTTCATCGTGATCCGTTCAGCAGTTTAGGCTACAAACACTAACAAACAACCATCTATCATAAACTTTCGCATTTATAATATTAGTAGTAAGATAAATATTAATTTATGTAAATAATAGAGAAAATAGGAAGGGTAAGCAGAGGTCATCATGACACACCTTTCGCTCTACTTTTATTGTGTTGATAGTCAATAACATAAAATATCAGTACCATTACTTATACTCGTAGTCTGCTCTTTCAACACTACGGCTATCAATTCAGTGAACCTATAAAAGCCGTATTGTATATGAACGACCGAATTCAATCTGACTCCATTGTGAATGACATTTCTGTCGCTAATAAAAATAAATGTGATACAATATCTGGCTTCTATAGACTCCTGACTGACTATTCGTTTTTTTTCTTATGATGATTACATTATGATAAAAATAAAGTAACGTTGTGTTACTCTTTTGTTTTTTTTAATTCCACGTGAATGAAATCTCTGTCGAGACCTAGCTACATTATTAAAACAATTGAATTGTGATTTTTAAAATCATCTAATTTGATTCAGATTTTTCCGCGCCTACCCAAATGCAAAGGAATTCTTCAAAATGATAGCAAAACTATCAGAGGAAGAGTATTCGGATAATTTTCAATTCAAAGCACACGTCATCAATCTAATGGCGTCATTAAACCAAGCTGTGACGAACCTCAACCAGCCAGAAGTTGTCGCAGTTATGATGAATAAACTCGGAGAATCACATAGACGGAGGAAAATTCAAGAACAACATTTTCACGTAAGAATTGTTAATACTTCTCACCTGTTTTATACATGGTCGTAATATTGCATCGGTCGAGCCATAATTATGTGGGCTCTACCACTATTTATGTCTTTTGTAAATCTTACATAAAGAAAAAATATTTTATTACTGCACTGCAAATAGGTTTTAAAATAATCAACTATTTGTAAGAGAATCCTACATTGTTATGTTTTCTAATCAAGACAAGCTGAGGCAATCTATTCTTAACTTATACCCGCGACTGCGTCCGAATGGAATTAAAAAAAAGCAAGTAGCTTATGTGATCTTTCAAACTTCGTTCCACATCTATGCCCAATTTCATCCAAATCCATTCAGCCGTTAAGGCTACAAACTCTAACAAACATCCATCAGTCTAAACTTTTGTATTTTTCTAGTGATTTAGCTAGGAAGGTCTTTTTTAATTCAAGAAGGGTTTATTAACTACTATTCCTGTCTGTAAATTATATTTTTCATCTGCCCTACAGGATTTAAAAGAGGTAATTGTGAAGATGTTCATAGAAGTTCTGAAGCTTGATGACTCTACACTCGGCGCGTGGGGCAAGACAGTTGGCTTTTGGTATAAACACATATTTGAAACTTTGAACGCAGACGAAAGTAGATAGCAACTTATTGTATGACTAAGAAATGAATAAACATTTACTCTAATTAGATAATAAGAAATGAGACATTGTATGTAATGTAAATAAATTGTTATCTAATTTCATAATCATTTGTATAGAATTATAAAGAGCTAACTGTAGAATGTAGGGCATTTATGAACTGTTCTTATTCTCGATACTTATTTACTTTAATAATGCAATTTATTGATATTACAAAACCAAAAAGTAGATATTAAACGTAATTTTAGGAATATTTTTCAATACTTCAAGAGTACTGAAATTTTTTTTTATAAAAATATTGACTCATACTATATGTATGTAAATTAGTGTGTTCGTTTGTGTTTAGATAATTCATACGTTGAAAATAAACCAGAATATATTTTATAAAAAAGTTTTGTCTAATTTATTCACCTCTTCAAGAATGATTTTACGAGTATGTCGAATCTGCGCGTGTGGAATTCTGACGCGTGGACGAAGTATATTATTCAATGAGAGACTCGTGACTGAAGGGATGTATTGAAATTTAAAGGAAATGAATCGTGCGAGAACGTGGCCAGCATCAAACTTTCACGGCTCTGAATAATGTAAGACTAACATCCCAGACCGTCGGGACTCGATGTTAGATTTTTTTTACAAAGGTCGTGGAAAACTTTGACTGCCTGTTTACATTTGAAAGATGACAAAGTAGATGTAGTAAACATTATAATATATCCAATATTATAAGCTGATAATAACATTGATAGATTTGGAAATCATTCCACAAACATGATGCCGAAAAAAGGAACGCCACATGTAACCATGTTAACGTCCTCTAAAAGGTGTAGTAAAAGGGCTCCATACAAATCTGCTTCAGAGCGCTCGTACCTTTGATACCATAACTGACGAGAAAAATGAAATTTGCTAATACCAGAAAAAATTCAATTATTAGTGGAACTACGACTTATAAATCACAAACGTTATATAGAGTGGTCTTGTCATTTCTTATTCTGACTCTGCAGCAATATTTTAAAATGTTTGATCATTGGATGCAAAAACTGCGTTATAATTGTCAACAGGATTCGTTGCGATTTGCTACTTTTGTTGATATCCTATTGCATAATACTTACGCATATCAGATGTCAAAAGGTTATGCTATCTTGTGACTTTACGATATAATTTAGATCATGTGACCAAATGGTTGTTTGTTCAACTTCTTTAGGTCACTTTGATTCGATCATTGAATTATTCGATGTCTTCCTCGCGATCATCATCATCTTTCTCCTTATCGTACTCCTGTAGGGTCGGCGCAAGAGGTTTTTGTCCTCCATATAACTCTATCATACGTCATCTCAGTCATGACTCCCTTTTTGATCATGTCACCTTTTACGCAATCCATCCATCTCTTTCTAGGTCTAGGATGTCTTCCTCGCAATATATGTTTGCAAATGGAAAGATGACCCAGTGTTTAGACTTAATTTGTACTGTTTAAATTTATTAATTAAACGTTAATACTTTTAACCAAAAGTTAATCGATAAAAACTTTTGTGAGAATCAACTTTTTTATTTAAAACTGAATCTTAATAGTCAAGTGCTGTGTCTCATTTAAAAAATTCTGAATCACTGAGCTAAAGTATAAAAATAGTTAATTTTATAACTTCTATTAGTATTCCCTTGGGACACAGTCTTTATAATCCAACTCTATGGGGTCGGCTGGACTGCACGCATCTCGCATACTAAGTCAATGTTTCTTGTATAAAGTACATGGCGAGATTATAAAACATTTCGCTTGCGAAAAAGGATTTCGGAAGCATTATTTCTCTATATTGATAGTAACACGTGCAACGTAAAGTATAACAAAATTATCAAAAAAAAGGTAGAGAAAGACCATAGAAAGTATGGACGAAAGCATATGCTTAAGGGAGTGAATTCAGATATATCGATATACTGTGCCGACCCTCCTTAAGTACTAGGGCAGGTTACTGATGATAATAATAAAAAAACTGAAATTCACTCTACTTTTCTCCGATAGTTTAAAACTAAAATCCATTCAAATACGAAACTACTAACAATAAAAAAACGCCAAGCTCTACAGCCGTCTAAATCTGTTATATCAACAAGCGAACAGATTTCTTAAGCGTTTAATGAGCTATAAATCAAACGAGACATTCCGTTGAGAGGAATGCATTAAGAATTTATATCCCATCAATATTCTATTAAAACATTTAATATTTAATAGATAGAATACAAAGAGTTCGGTACACGGACACGGACAATGGGTCGTTAGGGATCCTTATCATCGATTAACCAATTACAAGTCAGGTACAAGCCACTACGGAACTCCGCCCGCTATTTATATTTATGACATGTATTCTTTTACGACTCCTATTAGGGTTGTCACAATTGATGCATAAATGATACCAAAGAATCATAAATGTGACAGGTTTTACATGCAATACAGTGTAATATTTACAATAATGACCTTACTGATGTAGAAATAATTATATCGCTATCCTATTTCTTAGTCCGATTGCTACTTTAGTCTCTACCAAATTCCTTTACATTTATCAAGAATTCAAAGACTAATGCAACTTTTTATTGAACATAACGTCATTATTTTTATTTGTAGCAACCCTAATAACGACTTCTTTATTTAATTAACACAACACACCTGCAGTTTTACGATCTTAAAACAACGCATTCAATACAAATGCAATAAACTCACGCTACATCCAGATGTAGAGGAATTAAGTGACTCTGTACACGTTGTCTGAATACATGCATTTAATTTATCAGTTTACAGTTGTCAACACGCATTTAATTCAATAATATCTTTCGAAATAAGCATTTACTACAAACATCTATTAATAAAGTAGATTTTACAATAATTTCGTATTAACAGCACATAGCAGACAAATGAGAATTTAAGAATCATTGGAAGCTTCTTAATATTGATATTTTTCATTTGATGAATTGTTTAAAGTTAAAAACACTAGATATAAAACCGTATAGACCATGAATATGAATGATTAATTAAAAAATCACTCTACAAAACCAATCAAGTTATTTGATGTAAGAACGAAAACGGTACGAAACTGATACTCGCAAAAATTACACACCTGTCAAAGAAAATACTTGCTTTGGTCTACTCTACAATTATCAACGATAAAGCAAATATCTAATGGGTTTAGATATGCTTGATTTATTGCTAGCTGTCGCCCGCGACTTCGTACGCAGGTATTAGAAAACATACGAACTATATAAATAACAAAAAGCTAAGTATCTTTTGGGAACCGGGCATTTGTCGGTGATGAACCTTATCCCATCTGTACTCCAGACTTTGTTTTATATCTGTGCCAAACTTCAATAAGATACCGTTGTCGAATAATTGAGTAAACATTAAAAAATTAAATTAATGAGTCCCACGGGAACCGTAACTATTCCCGGGGTAAAAAGTAGCCTAAGTGTTCTTCCAGATTATGCTCTATAACAGTGCCAAATTTGATGGAGATCCGTTCAGCCGTTTAGGTTACAAACGCCAACAAACATCCATCCATCCATCTATGCTTTCGCATTTATAATATTAGTTAGATATGAATATGATATGATATATGATAATATAGTCTTAATAGTGCTTCTTAGCGTGACATTCTATTTTGTAAACTTAAGTAGGTCATTGTGCAAATGTCAAATCAAAGGGTGCGGAATGTTTCGGGTGTACTTAGTACTTAAACAATTCAAAGTTCATGTCGCGCCCTTATTATGAGGAAAGTATCGAACAAAGGTTCTTGTTAACTTATTGTTTATAGTTCGTAAATGAACTTTGTTAAGGTTAAGGCAATATCCGACCGGGAATACAAATGCCGGTAACTGGCACACTGGCATACAAGCGACTGGCACGCGCCAGACACATCTTGTAGACGCTAACTAGCCAGTATTTTGTGACAGAGGGAGAACGTGGACGACTTAAATGTATACCTAACTTAGGATTTCTAAAGATAGATCTCGCTGACTCTACTACTTCTTTATTTTCTCATTTCTTTAATATTTGATGGAAATTCCTTTCCCCTTTTGTAAAAAATTGGAAAGTTAATGAATATTGCTGTTTCCAGAGTGAGGTACATTAAATGTAGATATATCTAATTGATTTTATGGACATAAATAAATTGGTGGGCAATGACTTTTGTACATAAATAATTCATGCTGTGTTACTGTTGTTTGTGTTGCGGTAACTACTGGATCTTCAAGTTAGTAAGAGAATATACAATACAGGGAATGTGTTACGAAACAAAACACTTTTGAACAATTTACATTCGCATTCCTTTGATGTTATCAACTCGTTGAAAATATGTTGGTATTTAAGAGAAATACATTTACCTCTTTAAAGCTACTGTTCGAAATTATTTATTATTTTGGAAATAATTTTGGTGTTTTATTCCAATGTTAGTGGTAACATAATTTGGAAAGTCTAATCCACTCACCTCTATAAATGGACATGATATAAGGCGTTTTATTTTGTATCTATTTGATGTTTGCCTTTTTGGCGTTAGCGGAATCAATTTCTAGTAGTAGTGAGGATTCGAACTAATAATAGAGATAAAAATAACTGTCACTAACATCAACAGGCCCTTTTATGTAACGGAACAAAAGCTGTTATTTCCAAGAAGTAGCCTATCCATTGTTAAGGATCAGTGTTATATTGTGTCCTAGAGATAGATTTTTATTGTTTTATAAGTCGTTCTTCCGTCAACCACAAAATAGTGGACGTAAAGAACAATCTGTTTTCGAGACATTTTACGTCACAGCAACTGTTTGCGGTTTTACTACTATTTTTGATCTAATAAATTGATTACAAATCAACATGGTGTTTGCTTTTGTTTCTCAATTTATTGTCGTCGTTTCTTACTTCAATGTTTGTAATAGAAAAAAAGCCAAGATTTAAACAAATTAATGATTATTTATATAAAGATATGTTATTACAGTCACGGCCTATAAGTTAGGTCATTTGAAGACCGTAGTATCTTTGATGATTGTAAAACCTAGATGAATAGAGGAGCCAACTTAAAGATCAGTAATTTTATGTCCACTCTAACGTAAGGGGCGCAAGTAAACACATCAACTAAATTCCACCCTTAATGAGATACGAAATTACGTACCAAGGAAATTTGTTTCAGCTGTTTATTCGTGTTAAACGTGACCTTACCCCGTAGTAAACAACGCAGCCCGCTACGACATATTTCAGATTTTCAGTCGGGTGCCAGTCGTCGCCGGGGGTGCACGTGCGAGTAATTTCCGCTTCCGGCGAACGTGACGTTACGCGGGAAATATTCCGGAAAAACAATCGTGTGGAA